TATCACTGATTGACTATTCGAAGTAAAAAATGTTTATATTTCCCTACAAATTTAGCTTTATTGTGGCTTACTGAAAGTATAAAAAAACGTGGAAACCGTGAATTACTATAATGATTGAAAATAATTATTAAACTATGATCTCGACTATGATTAAAATAATGGAAGTAGAATGCTATTTCGACATTTCGTTGATTTAAATTTCAGTAGACAATAGTTCATGTTAATATTTACAGAATGTGATGTAGTTTTGAAATTTGAAGTTTTACACACAATATAATCAGTGCTAGCACAATGGCTTCGTTTCATAGCGTGGCCTTTCACAAACATAAACGCCTGATAATTGATAAATAAATAATCAGTGCGAGCACAACGGCGCCAAAATAATAACAAATAACAGAATATAAGCTAAATTAAAAACAGCAAAGCTTTACCTACCTCGATCTATTTTTCTATTAAAGGCGCTAAATTACGTAAATTTTCGACGAAAACTGAATATTTTCTTTGCGTTTCCTCGACGAAAGCCGTGAACAAAAGCGTGCATATTAAAGTTTCAACTTTCACATCACATGAAATTGCTCGTCGGACTGACTCGGTATTTGTCGTATTTTACGAACTGTCACGTGATTTACCACCACCCGTACACCGCGACACGAAATTTAGAGCTATATGAAAGTTGCATGCCCATATATAGGCATGCAACAAAAACTAATCCATCATCTACCATTTCATTCAAAAATATCATCTACAATTATTTACGATTAAAATTCAAAGTATGATCACAATATCAATATTATGCTAATATTAGCCTAGAAGCAATGTTTCTGGATCAGATGCTTAACTAAAGCTGGACAAGGTTGTAGCAATCTTTATCTATTTAGAAATATATTATATAGAGTAATGTTCCAGAAAATCTAAAAGTTATTTTGCCTAGAATAAGCTTTGGTTTCGGAAGATGTGCATCATTTTTTCATCTAGTGTTATATTTGTGGATAACGGACACTACGGTTCCTCACAAAATAATCATTTAGATATACTGGAACTAAATCATTTGGGCACTTAAAAACTAAAATGCATACATCTGCGACGGACTAAAATTTATCATATACCTTAATTAATAATAACTAAAAACCCGTCTTACCAGTCAGGAATGTCTTGTGTGGAAAGCATCTTGTTACACGATTGATGCAACCATAGCAGACAACATGATAGCGGCAAGAGTAAAATATACCCCTAATACATTCGAGCTCGCAGAGACAGCAATTATCCTTAAAGATCGCACAAGCCGCAAGGACTAATGCGCTACTGCAATGGACAGCATGCACACTTTTCGACTCCTATTTCTTAAAAGTTGGAACTCGCCTTTTCAATTTTTCTGTTCAGTGCATTTTGTGCACTCCACCCCGTTGCCAACGATAGGAATCTTTTTTCAAAGTCTCAAATATATTGCCGATAAGCAACCTCAATAAAAGTTATTTATTTCTTAAGGTCGCTTAGAGTGACGGATTTTTTGCTATCATTGTTTAACTCACTGGCTTCATTCTATCGTACCAATACTAGCTATGCAGTCATCCTGTTAGATCAGTAGATATCTTAATTATTACAATCAGTCTATACTATATGGTTTAACTGCTAATAAAAAACACTAATAAAACAATTATAAAATTTGTGTCTTATTTAATTCTTTCTGCCAAAATCTTTCAAAGGCAGAACTTCAACATCAGCAGCAGCTTTGAAATCTTTCACCTGTGTTGTATCCACATCAACAAGTAATGTGCGCTTTCCTGGCTTCCGTGGTGTAAATTTGAACTTCGCAGTCTGTGTTTTATCATACTGAAGGCTTTTACTAAAAGTAAAAAATTCTCTAATGATCATTAAAAGATTAATTAAAAACAGTGTTAGATACTGAATCAGTTTCTTCGAAGATTTTTTACAAATTTTTCAAAACTTAGAATATTTACCTAGGAAAAATTCCCACAGTAATGACAGAAACTTTGACAGTGTATACCAGCCTTTATACAGTAGGTACGGTTCACTCAGATATATACAGAAGAACCCCGCTCGAACACCAGTAAAAACTTTGGGCCGAGATGAAGATAACCGAATCAGTGTCAAATTACAAAACGATTATTAACAATAATTACTAAACAGAATCACATCGTGATACGCGATCACCTCAAGCATATGGATTGATGACTCGTTTGCATTGTTTAACTCACGTGATCATATTGTTCCTTTCCTTGATTACCTTAACTCGAAACATCCAAACATTAAATTTACTTTTGAAATTGAAACTGATAATAAAACTCTGCCTTTTCTGGATATCAGTATTAAACGTGTTAATGGTAAATTTGAAACATCAGAAAATCGAAAACCAACTTTTACTGGTCTTTTTACAAATTTTGAAAGTTGTTACCCACTGCTTACAAAAAAGGTTTAATTTTCTCCTCTTTTGTTTCGTTGTTTCAACATCTGCTCCTCCTATAAAATTTTTCACGCTGAACTTGAAAAATTCAAAAAGTTACTACTTCAAAATGGTTACCCAAAATTGTTCATAGATAGATGCGTATCGATGCGCATAGACATTTCCTCGGCTTTTCCTCAAGTACAACTACGTGTGATTTTTAAACCAATATGCCGTTTGTCTAATTTTTTCCATTTCAAAGATCGTATTTCTCTTAATCTGAGATCTCATGTCGTGTATCAATTTGAGTGTCAATGCTGTAACGCATTGTATTTGGGCAAAACATGCCGACATTTATACAGTACACACGAATCTCCGAGCATTGCGGAATTTCGGCTCTGACTGGCAATCCTCTTTCGTGTGTGTCAAAATCTAGTATTTCGGATCATTCTAGACAAGCCGGTCATCCAATTGAACCAAGTGGTTTTAAAATTGTTACTTCAGCTAATTCTAACCATGATATTCTTATTAAAGAAAGCTTGCTAATTGCTCAAACTAAACCATGGCTTAATAATAATGTCCGTGATCCTTTCCGTTAACACTCTTCTAATTAGGTATTTTCTTCTGTTAATTTGCTAACATCTTTTAACACCGACGCTAACCACTTGACATTCCTTTTTTAATCTATATCTTTCACTAATCTCAGTATATATCTTGTACATGTCAATATACCATGAACATTGTATATTTCTAATTTTAACTTTTTAACCGTTTGTAATTGTATATCATATATTTTTTCAAAATTTGCTATAAAATAGATGAAATAGCTTAACTGTATTTAGTCTGATGATGTCGCTTGTAATGTGACGAAACGTTACTCAATAATTTTTTTTTTAAATTCCAAATGTTTTTTGAATATGCCTCTTTTACGAGTTATTTGCTGGGCAATAATATTTTTAACTAGAATTCGTTTTCCGCCTGGTGTTTCTATTGCAACATAGTTGTTTCTGATCGTAGTCAATTTTAAACTAAGAGAACTAAAAATAAACCTATAAGAACTTGTGGTTGAAGCTTGACAACTACTGCATGTATACCCAGTTGCTGAATTGATTGTGGCGTTGCACCAGAATCGCAGGGTCGCAAGTTCCATTCATGTCAGAAAGCCTGCAGTAGTTTTGCAACAGCTCCTGGATACTGTAGGTCTGAAATTGCATATAATTTTCAGCTGGCGCAATTTCAATTGACCAAAATACTTTAACTGTAAATACAGTTGGGTCTAAGTTGAGATAAGCAAGTTTGACTGTCCAAAATGAAGTCGAGGTAGTGTCATTTATTTTGAGCTTTTAGTCTTCCTCTTGCTGGCTTTCAAAACCCAAGCATCTCGAAAGTTATTTTAATTCGGTTTATACTGTGTTATAAGACACTAATAGGATAACTTAAACTACTTTACCTGTACGTTTTTGTATCCAAGTATGCTAACCCTGCTCCTTCAATACTGATTTTGATGTAAGACAACTTTATTGGTAGAGGGTTTGTAAACGATACCTCAACTTCGGTCTCTTCTCCAACTTGAAGTGGTGATTTGTTAAACTACATAACCAAATTAACGGGCAATTTTTTGTCAATTACAGATATCACAATCAATGATCCATTTATACTGGTTTATTCATAGGAGTAACTGCAACTTGTATTTTAGAGAAATAGAGGCTGATGCGCTGTCAGGATGAAACATATTAACAAACAAACGTGCACTCTCCGGCCAAAGAATGTTATATGGCTGAACTCAAAGCCACAGCAACAGAGACAACGCCAATAGTAATGTTGCCCCAGTAACAACAATAACGACATAAGAACAATGGCATAACAACGACCACAAGGACAATTGACTATACTGACAGTTTTGGCAAATCCTCTTTGTTTACTAAAAACGTTCAGCATGTGCTTGGAAAACATGATCTATTCATGGCATGTTATAACACAGTGACGCAAACATTTAGGTAACATTGACTGACCTTGATCTGGATGGAATCCTGATTGAACAGTTGAAACTTGGTTTCATCAACATAAAGTTTCTTGTTTTCCAAAACTTTAGCAATCGAAATGAACTTTAAACAGTTAAGATCTGTTAGATTACTTATGTACTCATCAGGTTCCAACTTTATTTCCCTTACTACAGCTAAAAGGGAAAGAGGTAAAATAGCGGTAAATCACAGAATACTATTACCGAATGATCGATCAAGGAGATGGTGTTGTGGGTGATTTCCAATAGTAAGGCTGAATTCCAGGGCATGCATGCAACAATTAATTAAGCAAGTTTGACAAGTTCTGATCATTGAAAAAATGCGTGAGAGCCTGCAAGTATTATTTTTCAAAATTATATACATTCCCTTTCAAAATTTGCACCTACAATTGATCTTATCATGAATATGTTTTTTATATATTCTAACTGGGACAATTTTGACATTTGATTCATTTCGTCAGCGTTTTAACTAGATGTTCGATTTTCTTGGGTAGTAGTTACGTTTTGTTTTTTACAATATTTGTAACTTACTACTTCCACTACCAATCTCTACTTTTTCAAACTTCTCCTTCTTGACAAGTGACCAAACATCTCCAGTGTATCTGATGGAACTGATAACACCAGTCAAGTTAACAGTTACAGATTTCATGGATTTATTCTTCACATTCATGACACACGTGACAGGCTTGCCCACACGGAGATCTTCTTCCTTCGTGCTCAATTCTATAACAAAGAAAAATTAAATGTTCTATGGTACATAATCTTCATAATAGTGATTAGTTTAAATGCAACTAGCAAAACTATAGCAAACAAATATGTGTATACAAGTAACAAGTTGATTCATGTAAACGCATTTATCCCTGTTCCGGGTGCAAAAATGTAAATTTTGAAAAATTTATATCTGTTTACATGTATTTTAAAGTTTAGCCATTCAGCTTTCTGACGGTTGGTCATTTTTTAATATTTCAGTGCTTGGTATACGAAAAATATCATTTTATATGAGACTGAGATTGGAAAATTAAAATTTTAAAACGCAATTATTATTACTATATTATAAAACGCTCCTGAGATGAATAAGCATATTACCAAAACAAACAAAAAATGTTGGAGCATTTTGAAGATGGCTCATTAAAATCAAGAAATCACGGTTTTCTATGCGTTACTTTAAATTTACATTACTATGGAGCTGGTTTAAACGTACCGTGTAGGAAATAAATTTTTACTTTATTTCGCACTAAAGACGAGATAAATTCAAAAGCAGTTATGAAACAACGACAAAATATTACTTAATAAAATTGGCATCTAAAACTGAGTGATTTTCTTAAATTATTGGAAAAAAGAGTTTTGACATAACACTAATATATTACTATGATATTATAATAAATATTATCTTGAAATTATTGAGCATAAAATATGGTTTTTGTTTTAGCAAACCATGCTTGCACCTAAACATTAACATCGTCCACATAATCAATTTGGGTGAGAAAGTGGTAAGGGATAAACGACTATATGTTCATTAAAACATACCAAGAACTAAATCTTCGCCCTCCTCCTCAACATTCAAATGACCAGCCCATTCTTTAGCTCCTTGCCCAAAACTAAAGGCAGTTTCAAATGCTTTTCTTTCTTCCTTTGTCCCCTCGCCATATTTGTAAAGATGAGTGACATCTTCTCTTTGCCAACCGCCAACCATTTTAGTACTGATGTATTTACCAACTCTGTCTTTCACTTGTTTGACAGTTTCTAAGATCATGTAAGGCGTAAATTAATTATTCAATTCTATATAGGTAATAGTATGATTTCGAGTGCAATTGAGGACTAAAATCGCAATAAAAATTGTCTAAAGGACAAGAAATTAATGAGAAATTATATGCAGAATAAATTCATAATCACGTGCATACCTGCAACACATGCGAAATAATTGTAAGTGATTTACTTGATGTCAAAGTTAAGTTCTATTGTCAGACGTAAATCGTGCAGTTGCCACGTATTACCTTTTTTGGCAATGAAGTACATTTTTACCTCCGCCAGGAGGTTATGTAATCATCTGGGTTTGTATGTGTGCGTGTATGTGTGTGTGTATGTGTGTGTGTATGTGTGTGTGTTTGTCTGTGAGCACGATAACTCATGAAATACCAAACATATCCGTTCGAAATTTGTGAGTGCATTTCCCATCGGCTAAGGAAGAACTGATTACAATTTGGTTGAATTTGGTTAAAAATTGAATGAGAAATAACAAAAGTTTGTCTTGCTTTTCCCGGTCAATTAAATAAAACTTTATACTGAATGCGTAATTAGGACGTGCATAATATATGCACCAGCCATTCAAATTCTAATAACAATAGATTACTTCAATATTTTGCGCGTAGGCGGAGGTATGCAGTCTCTGAGTGCCCTCTAGTTTTATACTGTATTACAATGAAATTGCACCGCCGTTGGCGAATCAGAATTGGGTAGTCTACATTATTAAACCATTAAATTTGTCTCACACAAGTGTTTGTTTTCCTAAATTGCACGAGAAACTATACTACACAATTTTTTATTTACATTATTATAGACAGCAAACTTATGTACGTAAGGAAACAATAAAAAATAAAATATCAAGAATATAAAAGAAATATATTAACATACATACTTTGCATTTTATATTCATCATATTTATCTTTTTTGACCACCCACGTCACAGTATCTGCATTAACTTCAGAGAAAACGAAACCTGTATCAAACCCAGCATACACTTCTCCATCTTTTACTGCAGTCAGTGGAGCGGGACCCATTTGGTAGAGTTGAGAACTTTTCTCTTGAGGTGTCGCATCCACTGCCTGCCAACCATCGTATTTGTTCCCAGGAAGATCATCACGTTTTGTCCAGATTTCATTCCATACATGAAAATTCCTTGGGGATAAAATGTACGGTGTTTACAGACAAGTGTACTCATACAGTATGTTGTAATGACAGAAATTTCTGTTTGTATTTATATTTACAGATAATGGCTTGATTTTGCAATGTGCAATGTTAAAGTGTATGCACAAATAACATGACTTTCTACACGCTTTTATTCGGTAAAAAATTTCTTCATCAATGACAAGTCACGAATAAAAACTTTAGGTCACAGGTGACAACGAGTTTCATCAGACACGAGTTTGAATGAGATAATTGTTGAACACGATCTTCAAATCGCTTGACTATGGATATTGATAAAAAACATTGACAAAACTTTTAGGGATTTTGCAGATCTTCAGGTGTATACTATTTAAAGTACGCGTAGGAGTGTTGTATCATATTTTGCAAATGCGCAGCGCGAGCATTTTAGATAGGATAAAACACGACTATTAGAGCTTTAAATGTCATTGAATGATTTAAAACACAACTATATGCCGTTTCATTAGTATTCTTTATATATAAGGAATATATACTAACTATAGGATAGGTTTTATATAAAGTATACGCTAGTGAAAATGAGTTTTATCTGCATGGTATAAAGCCAGTTCACGTGACAAATTATGGTTCACATGATTTGCCAAAAGGCTCATGAATTATTACCTCCGCCAGGAGGTTATGTAATCATCTGGGTTTGTACGTGCGTGTGTGTGTGTATGTGTGTGTGTGTGTGTGTGTGTGTGTGTGTGTGTGTGTATGTGTGTGTGTGTTTGTCTGTGAGCACGATAACTCAAGAAATACCAAACATATCCGTACGAAATTTTTCGAATGCATTTCCCATCGGCTAACGAAGAACAGATTAAAATTTGTTTGAATTTGGTTAAAAATTGAACGAGAAATGAACAAAATTTTGTCTTGCTTTTCCCGGTCAATTAACAAAAAATATTACTGAATGCGTAATTAGGACGTGTATAATTTATGCACTCAGTGCTAAGACAATAATGAGATAAACTTTATTAAGCTTCGGCCTTCATTATCTATTGTCTTAGTTGCATTTCACGCGACCGAAATTCAATGTCTAAACTACAAGGCTTACGGAGTTACGCATTATTACGTTCAGCAAAGTGCCAGTCCATTCAAATTCTAACAACATTAGATTACCTCAATACAGGGGGTAACCTGAGTATCAGGCTCTATTTTACAAATAGAGCCTGACACAAAACTTAACCTGATCGCTTTCCGCCCACAGCAAAGTTTATATTTAGTATCCAATCAAAATGTCGCAGGAGAAATTTAAATTTCACGCAACGACAACAACAATCTAATTATAGCATAGGCAGCCCACTAAACGGCTGAATTTAAATTAAAACTGCAATGAACTTATAAAATTAACAAAAATAATCACAAATTAGCGAAATATATTGCAAATGTAGCTTATATTAAATCGCCAACCGATTGCTCTCTCCTCCGCAGAGGTTTCAGTGACTACAATGAGCTTTACATGGCGCTTGCCGTATTTATCAACAAACTGACGTATAATTATAAAGTATACTTTATAACTATACGTCAGTCGATAGTGCAATCTGATGGCGATTTAATATAAGCTACATTTGCAATATATTTCGCTAATTTGCGATTATTTTCTAATTTTACTGCAGTTTTAATTTAAATTCAGCCGTTTAGTGGGCCGGCTATAATTGTAGTTGTGAATTGTGATCGTTATAAAATATATCAACAACAATAGCACAAAGTATAATCTAATTAGCACCAGCCAATCAAATGACAGATTTAAAAATCGTTTGTCTAATCGGCCAATCAGCGCTCAGTCCAGATTCTGGACTGAACAACCAGGCAAAATGCCACTTTTGTGTCAGGCCGTACTTTTCTCCCCTTCGCCCACGATCAGGCGTGCCTGTGCCCTAAAAAGTACGGCCTGATACTCAGGTTATACAGGGGGTATAAAAAGAACGCAACCTCGGAATTTCCCAAGAAATCGACATTGTTTTAAAGACAAAAGATTTTAGCTGCCTGGGAATTTAAAATAGCACAACTGTGAAAATTACTGCACGCGCGAGTGAATAAAGCAAAATTTATGCATTTATTTAATGACACTTAATAAGTTTTTATTTTACAAGTACTGTACAGTACAACAACAGTAATATGTTCTATTAGCAATTCGATTTCAATTCGCGGGGGCCTGAAATCTTTTATGCTTAAGAATTATAAAGTGGATTTCTTAGGAAATTCCAAGGTTGCGTTTCACTTCCGAGTAACGGGCGGAGGTATGCAGTCTCTGAGTGCCCTCTAGTTAATAATGTTTTATAAGTACTAGTTAAAATACGAATAGCTGTGCGAGTCATTGTTATAGATAAAACATGAGCAGCCGATCTTGTATCTGATATACAAACTCGAGTCGAAGGGGAGAGTTTGTACATCAGATACAGATCGGATGCAAATGTTTTATCGTACTTAAAGAACGACCCATCTTATGAGTTCATTGGCGAAGTAATTTTAAAAACTAGAAATACATGCATTCAGCAAGCCCTTAGCCTGCTCACAGGCTCTATTATATAGAGCCTGCGACTTTTATTGATATTTTTTCAATACGCCCCCTTTGAGATAATTGAATATCCGGTAAATAGTAGCCAATCAAAGCAAGTTTTGTTAATTAGATTACCAGAGGTTATTAACAACAACAAACAGTTTCTCGCGCAATTTTACGCGTGTATCTTTCACTAGGATTCCAAGGTCTAAACTTTAATCAAAAATAATTCATGGTCGTTTTTTCCCTAAAGTGTTCTAATATTTAAAACATAGTCCCGTTTGTATATTGCTGTCTTGTTCGTACATTGCCGTTTTAAATTATGTAACTATACTACAGAGACGTAAAATTTTACTCTATTAGTTAATGTATTTTATATATTTATATCCAAAATATAACTGTAAGATTTAAGGAAACGTATTTAGGTTTTGAACAAAGTAACAAACACTATTTATTAAAAGTGTCGAACAATAGCAGGCTAAAAAACAACATTAATCATTATTGCGTGAAGTCTGTCATTTGCTCAATTATACAATTAACTCAATAGACAATAGACAATTTGAAAACCCGTGGCCGTGGCATCGATTCTGCCGTGTTTAATAACTACATTTTTTTGTAAAAAGCTCTTGTTGTAATAATATATGTCACTAGTTGAGACTCCCAAAAATAAAGTCTCAAAGAGAGGGCGGACTTCGGTCAAAAAACACGCAAACGACTATTGCAAAATTTCCAGGTGTAAATTCAAATTGGCCAGGTGTTCTAAGAACGACTTTCCTCGAGTCCATTATCTTGACTTATTCAAGACCAGATTGTTTAGGCAGAAAGCCTTGGGTTGACAGGGAAGTATTTGGGAGAAATGTTCGGAGCCATTTGACAATCAACTGCTTTATACTAGCTGATTCACTGCCTGTGTCTCAACGAACGTCTCGCTGGGCTAACCTTAAGTTGTTCAACGTTTGAAACCGCAAGTGATGCAAACGCGGTTAGATAAATTGTCAGCCTGAACTAGACTTATTTTACTCTCTCTGCAAAGATCAGCAAGGCATACGTCGAAGTTTTCCCTTGTACTTCTTTGGAAAAGGTTTATTATTCTAGCTGACAAAGACAAAGTATCGGTATATTACATGTAAACTTTTATCAAATCCCGTTGGAAGTACAGTTAATATTGCTAACCTTCGCTCATCCTTCAACGTTAATTTAAATTGAAAGGTTTCTCAAATACATTCAGTTACTTCTTCGAAGAGATAAACAAAGTCATGGTTTTATACGCCACTGATTGCATGCCAGCTTTAAAATTACATTGCGAAATGTCATACGAGTTAAATATTTGCACGATATTAACTCATGGGGCACTTCTGACCAATGGGAATTTTGCGTATGCTCCGTACGCATAAATCGACTTTTTACTAATAAAGGTCGCAGGCCGTTCCTCTTCCCCTTCTCCGCCTGACAACGGCCTGTGAGCAGGCTAGCAAGCCCTCGCCTAAATTTTCCAAACATTCAATTAGCATTATAAAATAACATGTATATAACGCGTGTTCTGATTGGTCGAAACCCGTGTTTGGATCAGGCCATCCAAACACGGAAGACTATCGTGTTGTTGTTATTTTATAAAACAATTATAGTTTCCGTGTTTGGATGGCCTGATCTAAACACTTGGGAATGTTGCTCGAGTTAAGAAAAGCGGGCAAAATCACTCGCCTTCGGCTCGTGCTTTCGCTCGCTTTTCTTAACTCTCGCAACATTCCCGCGTGTTTGGATCAGGCCATCCAAACACGGAAACCATAAAGTAATTGTATATTAAGTATTATGGAATCGCCTACACTGAACGCAAGCTCGCGTTCAAGTGTTGCCATGACAACACGATAATTTTTAATTTTTTATATTTTTTGTACAAAGCGGCAAAATAGTTGAAAGATTAGTACTCCTAATTATACAACAATAAATTTCCGAAATATATACTGTGGGTAGGTTATATTTTGTGAGCTTTGATTTAATGTAAAATTTAACTTGAAATGCTTCGTAAAATGTTTTGAAATGTTTATTCAGCAATAGACAATCCAGAAGACATTTTTGAGGTGCGTTTTGATTCATAATGGACGCCGCCATTCTGTCATTTTATTACTCACCAAGTACTATCATTATTAAGACCTTCAACGCTTTCTCCTTCTTCATCAATAAATGTATCAACAGTCATTGTGTTGTCTGTGTCGTGTGCGCTATTGTAGTTAGTCACACTTCTCGCTGGAATACCAATTGCTCTGAGCGCTGTCGTCAAAACACCAGAAAATACCCAACATTGACCATATCTAACAGGCTTTTTTGTTTCGTAATATTCTTGAAGTATTTTCACACTGCCATTCCAAAACGTTGGTGAGCTTCCACCTTCATAATTTGCCGACCAATTGCCCATTAATACACCATCATCGTCTTGCGAATTAATCTAATCACGTGTATAATGCAAGTTTCAAAATTAATGAGATACATGTCTATACAAAAAAATTGTGTTCGTCACTGTTGAGCATTATTCAGTCTACCATAAAGCATTTGTTATATACACCAAACATTTCTATTCATTAACATTTAAAGGTAGGTTAAAGTAATATGGCAATAATCAATAACTGAGTTTTTGATGACGTCACAAGCAGGGTTAGCTTGTTGAAGCTTGTACATGCAAGACTAAATTTTGTCGAAAAGTTTCCTAAAATGTTGTGAGTTAATTGAGTACCATAAAAGCCTCGGAAAATCAAGTTTCATATTGATAATGACATGTGGTTTGCAAGATAAATATTTCGCGTTTTACCCTACTTGTGACGTATGCATATGCAATGCATATCCAAGATCGGGGAATGCATGCTGCTTTTCACCAAACTATGTCGATTTATTTCGAAAACCAAGTAAGATACTGAATAATTGTACAGGTAGTTTACATATCATTTTAAATAAGACAAACTTAATTTATATTGCCATATGCGCTCTGTCAACTTATCAGCATATTAGATTATAATTATTGCTGGATCCGGCCAGAAAAGTGTCTATAAAACGTTTATACATATTTTCTCATTTATGAATTAATTTTAATTGATATAAGTGGAATAACATAGCGTTAATCATGTGTGATATCATACTTTGGTAAAATATAATCTTACCATGGCGGAAAGAATTCTGGACACCCACACAGCACTGCTTCTCATATGAAGAGATTTGAGAGGTTTTTTCTTAATTCGTCGATCATTTTCTAACAGATACAGCACACAGTCCAGGATATTTGACTCAAACTATAATGAATAAGTATTGTATAATGTTCGTTAGGTATCTCTTTATAATTTTGGTTGTATGTTACGTTCTTCCTTGTTTCTTGCTTCTCTTGCTTTCCTTCCGAGGGCAGGGCCTATTTTATTGCACACTTTGTGCAGTATTGAATAAAAAGCGTGCGGTATTGAATGCAAAAGTGTGGAGTATTGGAATGTGAAATTTGAAAATAAATTTCAACTTTGTATTAGATATGCCGAAGGAGTAAAGTAGATGCAATGCAAAGTTGAGAATTCCACGTTGCCTTTGCATCAAAATGAAATTAATTTGAAACATTTTTAAAAATTTCTCTTCTCCCCGTCGCGAAGTGACGTCATTAATAACACCTGCTCTGAAGTGTGCAGTATTGTAATTTCCTTAGAATAGGCCCTGTTCGAGGGAAACTTTATTCCCATTGTGGCTGTACATTAACTGCCTACAAAATAACAAATTGCGCTACGAAAAAGTAATCTTGTTGGCCGAGAAATATAATGGTGTTCAACCATTTCACTGGGGAAATTTGTAAGTCAACTTTAAACACCGATATCAATAGACCTTCCCCTTATAACCAAAATTTTGATCTATGCAAGTCTAGACAAATATTTCATCACAGCTTGAAAGAGCATCACAAAATTAGTAATATTCCAAAGTTTCGTTTCGAAATGTTGTGAAATGAGGAAAATAGAGCCTTAAGAAGTTTGCAATTTTCAGTCATTTTGCATTACAATTAAACGGGAAATTGCAGCCCCAACACCCGAATCGGATGTCAATTTCCCGTTTGTAATACAAAATGACTGAAAAACGGCAAACTTTGCAAGGCTATATTATCCGCATTTTACAAGATTCTGCAACAAAACTTTGGAATATTACTAATTTTGTGATGCTCTTTCAAGCTGCGATTTAAAAATCAAAGCAACCACCTATATAATATAAGGGACCATTCATTATTTATGACAGGGGTAGAGTGGCAAAAGAGGGGGTAGGTCATCAGGTATTTTTGACTGAAAAAGAGGGGACACCTAAAAATATTGGGTTAGAAAGGGGGTCCAGTTATTTTATTATAGTGGGGGAAAATTTGACTTGTAACGATTATTGCTACTGCTCGGAGCAAGCAAGGTAGCAAATTTAATTCATGTGGCTTGCAAAATTCTTAATTTTAATTAACAGATATACCTAAAATGCAATGCGCAAATACCCAACATGCATCAATTTGCCATAAATTTTTGTTATGTTTCTCTTTAGTTGTTACTTGAGTTTTGCTTGCCCAACCCCGTCATAAATAACGAATGGTCCCTAACATATTATCGCTTTGCGGACAGCTCCAAACATGGCTAATCGTGTACAGTTCTCGTACAGCGAAAGCAATTCAGTACAGGTTCATACCGTGAAAAATTGAAAGCACCCATGAACTACTGTATGAAAATCCTTCATGTTTGGGTAAATATCCGGGTTTTGGGAGTCGCACTCGGTAGAACTAAATGTTGGAAGATTTTTTTTATGGAAATCTCCAGCGTAAATTTTATACCGTTTTTTCATGTTTTGCATGCTAACGTTTTTCGCACATTTGGCGTTTGTAAATGTAGCATCCAGTTCCTATTGTTTGATAGACGTAAAAGCGAGGTTTTAAAATCAAATAAACATGTTTTAATTGGCGACCGAATTGAGGCAGTATGACGCTTTCACTTGTACAGACATTACTATACTCAGTGTAAAATCGTCGAAGAAAAATGCAATATATAAAGCAATATGGGCGGGGCATTCAAGAAGATGCATTATAAAAAATAATACCAAACATGTATGCTTGATGTGCATGACCTTAGCAGTACATGGTGTTCGGAAATAGTAGTATTTTGTTTAGCATACTTGACCGAAGTTCCAACGGGCTGGATTTGGACCTGCTCTTCGCGACCAGCCTCTGTAAACCACACCATGATCGTTGAGAACATATTCATTTCTCAAATCTTCTTCAGCAAGATAAACGTCATCATCTGCGTACAAAGAATGCCAAAACGTAACTCACAAACAACATAGGAGATAAAATGTGTAATTTCTTACTGACACTCGTAATGCTGTAATATTAAGTTGCGGATGGAGCATCGTGAGTGGATAAATATCTTCCCAACTATTGTCGATCTTTATTATTTATTTAATTAATTAAAAATTGTGAAATCGCCTAACATTCAAAAGCTGAGCAAATATGAGTTTTTACATCATATTGAATGTGAAGTCGTAACGTTGAAAATGAAAAAGTCATAATCAATGTTATAATTTATGCTGTAGAAATACAAATACAAAATGTAGAAAACACGACCAAAACAATATTATGAAACGCATGCGAAATTGCTTGTTTTAGTAAGAAAAACACTTGGTTCGAAGGCTATGTTTATTCTGATAAAAACAAATGGCAAGTGGCAACTGACAGTATGTAGCAACTGACAACTCATGTGGCAATCAAAAAAATGCAGTACGGTATGTACTGAGTACTGAATGCGCGAGTAATACAAGTATTTAGGGGCTCTTACAAAAATGTCAGATTGCACATGGAAAATTCCACTTCCATAAATAAAATAATAATATATGTGAATTAATTTTTACTTATAAACCTCTAATTATACAGCTAAAAATAATATAAAACTTAAATTTCATACGTGAAAATTCTAAATTTCACATAAGAAACGAGCGTTTTCACATATGTAATGTCCCAATTCCACTTAATTCATATAAATTTACATTTGAAATAAGATGTGAAATTTTTCCGTAAGGGAAATACCTAAGTAATTTTGGAGGTATTCGGTCTCTGAATTGAAATTGAGCAATTTTACTTTTTCATATTTCGTTAAGTCAAGATTACTTTTACAGACGATTAGCTGTAAACTCAGTGTATACACTAGCCTGCGTGCAGGCCCAGGGGAACTGATAGTGGGCCTGCAAGCAAGGCCCGGTATTTTGTAAAACGCCCCTTTTCATAACACCCCCCATTCGCGCGTCAATTGTCAAAAAAGAACAAATGACAGCATCCAAATATTAACAAACAAACTCGCATTAAAATGTTGCGGGGTTTTCGCAGTCAGTAATTGCCAAATTTGCAAGTGCTCATTTTCAACTAAAATCGGAACAGGCAAATTAGGACGAATTTCAACAGAAAACCAGTCTCAAACTTCAAATCATGAGGGAAGTCGTGCGACCACATTAGGATTTATATTATGTGTGCTTCGCTGTCGCCATTGGCATTGTTATAAATAAATTGTCTCACTTATCAGATCGTGTGTGCAATTCTTGTTGGCGGCGGAAAGTACGAAATTTATTTCAGTTATTTCATTTGGTGAAGAACTCTACCAAAGAAGAGAGCGTTCCGAGTCTAGATCGTTTCGTTTCAAACAGCAATTTAATACCGCCTTCTGTTTCGCTCTCTCAGCGATTTACAGAAGCCTTGTAAATCGCAAAGTGTTTCGAATAGGCTTACAGTCCTTACATGCAACTGCATCTCAACATCAACCAAAAGATAATTTGCTTGAGGAAGTGAGAACACATAACGTATCAACTGAAGTCTGTTTGAAATTAATGAAACTCAAGTAAAGGTTACTATAGTTTACCCCAGTCGTAAATTGTAATTTGCTATTCCAACACCTCACGACAAGCAATCCCCATTGGCATAACGGCAAAAACATGTCTTCCTTCAAGTAAACAATAAACAGTCTGTTCTTGTTCCATTTGTAATAAAAAAAGTGATCAATTTTCAAATTTTAAGCTTATCGAGAGCCTTTGTCTATGCCTTTGTGTTGAATCACTCTTCCCTTGGGCCTGCACGCGGGCTAGGTTAAGTAATTACCGATCGCCTCAGCTAGCCAATGGGAATTTAGCCGGCGGTCGGCCGGCGAAAATCGAAAACATGGGGTGATGGTTGCAGGCTGTCCCTCACCCTCAGACAGCCTGTACGCAGGCTATGTATACACAGGATTTCGGGCATCTCACTTCATAGAACTAGAAATACATGCATGTAGCCATAGATATAGGAGATCTAGATTGCTAACGCATACCTAGCGCAGGCGGGGCCTATATGATAAATCCAAGATGGCGGTACAACAGGGCAAAAAGACTATAGATTCTATTACGAAAATCAGGATTTTTGCATTTTTTGCCGTCGCATTGTTTTGAAACTTATTCGGTCAAATTTTATGGTAAAGAGAAACTTACCGCGAAGATTTTAAGCATATATATGATTGAATTGGATGAAAACTCGCAAAATTATGCTGCGATAAAAGTTCGTGTGAAATGGTCAGTTGGTCAGTTGGAGTATTTTATTGCCAGAAATACTGTGCTATGTTAACATCTAGCCTTGTGAATGGTGTTTTATACTTGCATCTCTCATCATCATCTGCTCTGTCCTCATAATTATGAAAAATGAACTGTTATGTACCCCCCCCCCCTTGCTTGTTAGAGAAGTAAACTGATGAGAGCACTGGATGAGGGTCTATCATCTATGGTCTGTTATAATTTGCTTTTTATGCAAATAGTGAGCAAAAATTAAAGCAAAACTGTACAAGTTACTTATATAGTACTATATCAGTACTATACACGAACTTTTATCGCTGGATAATTTTGCGAGTTTTCAACCAATTCAATCATATATATGCTCAAAATATTCGCGGTAAGTTTCTCTTTACCATAAAATTTGACCGAATAAGTTTCAAAACAATGCGACGGCAAAAAATGCAAAAATCCTGATTTTCGTAATAGAATCTATAGTCTTTTTGCCCTGTTGTACCGCCATCTTGGATTTATCATATAGGCCCCGCCTGCGCTAGGTATGCGTTAGCAATCTAGATCTCCTATATCTATGCATGTAGCAACCCGGCCCCTCGCTTATATTTTCCAAACATTGACTTACATGAAGTACAGTATTAGTAATTGATGAACACTGAACGCAGGCTCGCGTTTACGTCAGTGTTGTCATGGCAACACAGCAACCTTAAATTTTATATCTTTTTAACAACACGCCAAAAATAGTTGAAAGATTATTGCTTTTAGTATAGGTAATCATGCGATGGCGAGTACAATTAGGGATTAATAGTACGACTGATGTTTGGAAATGTTGCCAAAATTGAACGAGCCGCCGGGGCGAGTCCAATTTGGCAAATTTCCAAACATCACGAGTTAATTCCTAATTGTACAATTAATCCTTACTTGTTTATTACTAGCATGACAAAATTGGATACGTACTTCTCAATGTCAGTAATGTCAACATCATATTCTCTCGCCAAAGCCCAGTTGTGCCAGATTTTCAACCAAAATTTGATGCTTTTGTTTGTATTTTCATTTAGTTCTTTTGTTCAAGCAAAATTTGGTGCTTTTGTTTCGTATTTTTATCTAATTCCTTCAAAGCAATTTCATTTCACGTTTGTATTTAAAGTACCTTTCCGCCATTTTGTTTGTTTTGGGAAAAAAAATTAATTGTACTGCAGTACAATTAATGAAATAATTGTACTCCTCTCAACCAATCAGCATCCAGTAATTTGTCATGCTAATAATGAATGATATAACAATTAATTTCCGAATTATATGTACTCTAGGTATGTTATTTTGCATTTTGTGAGCTTTTGTTCAATGTAAAATTTAAACTGAATCGCTTCGTAAAATGCTTTGAAATGTTCATTTTAATAACTAAACTGCTTTTGTCGTCCTTGCCGAAGAACTGTTTTTAATACTTAATAAGTTCAAATTGTGAAGTAATTTCATTTAGGTCTTCAAATTAATTTGCTCTCCTTTACATTTTACCTTTTTTCTTAAATTAAACAGGGTAATTTAGAAAAGTTGACTGAAACAGATGACTGAAACTTGACTGAAAAAGAAAGCTGAATGTACTTTTAATACGCAAGAAATTATTTATAAAAGCAACAAAATTCATAAACATTAAACATTCAAAGCAAACTTGCACTATATTTTACGATTCCCATAGTAAATCAATTTTTCTCATTTCTTCAGACACAAATTGCTTCAAAGCTCATTGTGTGAAACGTGATTTTCCAAATATATGCTTTTGAAAATTGAAATCTTGTTTATCCCACTCCTGGCAAACAGCGAGGAGGTCCACCCATGAACCACAGTCACGCGTCCGCGATATTTGATAAACTTTAGACTTCGCTAGCGCGTTCCTTTCCCCAGGTGTAAATAGCCCCGGGCTTGGGCGGAAGTTAGTATTCCGAAATATTTAGCATATAGTGGAAACACATAGTGGAAACACAACACAAACAAAGAGCATGGTTTTGTATTGCGATCGAGACAAAGTGACATTATATTTTAGTTTATCTTTATATTTATAATTCTTTTATGAAATAAATGGTAAAATAACCAAAAGTGAGTTTGGGAGTTAATGTACCGACGAAGGTCCGTACAGGCTTACGCCCGAAACGCCGCTCCGTGCCGTTGGCTCGGGAACTAAATGTTGAAGAGATTTGTACATGGAAATTTTGAATGGAATTTTTATACATTTATTAGACCTATGATCAGAAGCAGTTGCAAAAAACGGTCGGCACTCTATAACAAACATACTTGCAAGGAGGTGAGCCCGGGATTGGACGCACCGACGGTGGCTGGAAGTTTCCCGAACTCACCGAGCGAAGCACAGGCGGCCCAATCTCAGAATGAATGATCAGGTGTTGCCGGTTTTTAACGGTTTTTATAAACAAATTTATAGTCAACCAAAATTATTTTAAAAACTTTCTTAAATTAGTCAAATAAATACATTTTAACAATAAAATATAGTTGACATGATAGTATAATACCTTTGCATTCTTTTAATTAAGTTAATCCATGAGCTCATTTAGAGCGGTTGATGTAATATTTACTGCGGCCTACATTGTGTGTGCTCATCTATACATAATACAATCTCGTTCCCCGAGCATGCCCGTTCGCAGGTTAAGAGTGGGCATAGCTCTGGAGAAATCGAATTGATTCAGGCCGCTGATTGGCTAGCGGCAGATAGCACGTTGGATTTCCAACGTGG